CCTGCTGTTCACGTTATATAGTCCATAGGACAGACCAGAGCTGGTCCAAACCAGTGCTTGTTGCAGATGTTGGTCTTCCCATTTACTAACGTAACTGTAGCAGTACTCACTGTTCTTGCCCCAACCTATAATCGTATGCTTGGGGAAAAACTCAAAATAAACACTCCCTCCACCCTGCCTTACTCCTACCTTTTCATCAGCTTCTTAATATGTAAACCTGGCCATTTAGGCATGTTTAAATCCAGTGATGCTGACAAGATATTCTTACTACAGTTGAGAATATTGCCCAGTCTGACATGAACCATATTTTAAATCACTTGGTTTGTCTAAACTTAACAGTGCAACTTGCTGGGTACAGCACAGACTATGCAGTCAGTCTTCTGCAAGATAGCTAAAGTGCATCTTAACAAAACCCAATAACCTGTGTTTGCATACGTTGGCTCTAAAAAAGAGGTAACCTTCCATTTCTTCTTCCCTGTAGGGCATAATTTGCTATTTTCTAAATAATGCATAATTTTCCTTGGTATGCCCTACTGATTTTTTTCTTGTCCTACAGCCAGCTACACACAAAACAAGAGCAGTAAGAATGGTAAAGGTGCCAACTGATTACATTACAATTTTAGAACAGAATGGCAGCAGAGATTACTAGGCATTTCTGTAGTATCTCAAATGAAATACATCCTCAGTTTCTGCCCTGTCCATAAACCCCATGTACTCACCAAGAATTTTGTAAGTGACAGTGGGACAAACAAACAGAGGCATAGGCTGGAAGACTGCCTTCAAGTACTGGGTCTAGTTGTTCATTAGCAGATTTTGCCTCCTTTTCAACCATGCTAACAGGAATATTTAAATACCAGGCATTTCTTTCAATTAATTGCTTCTACCACCAAATGAATGCTATAGGCACTTTTATGTAGGTCAACAGATCAGCCAGTAGTTTAAAAAAATGCATTCAGCCAGCTGTACACTTCAATTTTCTCTCCCAGGAGCTACAACTGCTGCTATTATTCTGGTTTGTTGGTATCTCTTCTCTTACTTCCTTGTGCAGAAGCCCTCAACTTCCATGTTAGAAAGCCTACCCCTTCTGGCTTCTCACTAACAGCATTGCCCCTGTATCCAGAATGACTGTATTCATTTTGAGGCATACTTCTGCCACTCTCTACCTGTCTGTGCCAGCAACTCTTAGTTGCTCTGGAAAGCAAGAAATTAAGGATGATCAACCAAGTATTTTACAGCTGTTGTATGGAAGCAAAAACACAGGCAGTACACAGCCACCTCATTTCCATGTTTTCAAATGGAGCTGTTTGTTTATTCACCAAGGGTGTGCATGTTGCTCAGGTGCACTCTGTAGCATGTCTGATTTGATCATCATCTTCATAGGAGAAATCAACCTGAAACACGCCCTGAGTAACAAAGAAAGACAGACAAATGCTCAGACTTACTGCCATTTTATTTTCATGTTCATCCCAGGCATGAGTGGTTGGTTTATTGCTTCTAACAAAATTACTTTGCCAAGATGATTGCTATGCACAGAACATAAAATATATGATAACCACTGCACTGGAATTTACATTCCTAGGAATTATTTGCTAGAAAAGATGATGTGCTTGGTTGTAAATGTTCTGTGCATACGCCTAAAGCAAGAAGTTTGGAATGTTTGTGTGTAATTTAAACCTTTACAGCTCCTTTTGGAGTTTGAATGATGAACCTGCTCATATTTGCCAAGGCAAATCAGATGCAGATCCTACTTCCTCTAAAACACAGCCAGGCATTCCAAAAGAGAGAAAGCTAGGAAAGTGTATAGAATAGATTTGTTTCTTTGCTTATTATAAAATATGAATTAAAACCAGCTTGTGACATCCCTGAAACAGCCTTATGCTAGCTGAAGATCTGTCTTAAAATCTTAAAACCTTTGTGCCTTTATCAAATGCACTTTGTGCTAACAGAATTTCACACATCTGGATCTGTGTCGATTTGGAACTATTTGTTATGAAGCTGCACAATACAGTGATATCCAATAATAGTGAGGATAACTAGGATACTACTATATACTGACCCAAGAGATGCAGGTATTGGGACCCCAGCATATTGGATAGCATACAAATACAGACTGAAAGGCTGCAAAGAGCGTATGGGAAAGCACTTGAGCTCAAAAGCAATATGCAGCTTAGGCACTATGACACACAATCAACCAGCCCCCTCCAGCTGGTGCTAGCGCTCCATCTATTAGCAGGATCAGGTTTATCTTATGGCAGACATAGATTTTAGTGAAGGTCAGTAAAGGCTTTTCTTTTTTCATAAATCACTTTGCCAAACCCTGAACTTTGCTTTCCCTTTCAAAGTGCTGACCTGTATTTAGCTACCAAGGCTCAAGCCTGAAATGTGTGGGCCATCAACTAATGCTGACCATACAGAAAACTGCTGATGTCCTGGTGCTCAGCAGCTCATCAAATTTATCTCATAATATAGTGTAAAAATCTGGAAAGAAGGTGTTGCATTTATTAGATACTGGAAATACACTGTGAATTTAAAGACTATTGGGAAAACAAAATAACATTAAACATTAGTAACATATGTACTAAGTGCATTTAATCACAATTGTTGTTTGTATGCTAGCTGGAGGTCAGATTTGAAAAGAAATCAAATTACTGTAAGAGTCCTGGCTAACAGAACAGTTTTATTACACACCTACTCAGCCAAGAGTGGAGGTGGGCAAGCTGAGTTTGTTGACATTTTTCATAAACCCTCTTGGATGTTGCTAGACATATTTTAAAAAGCAAACAAACAAGTAATGGCTATACTTAATTACGACAGACATGGAAGTCATGCTGTGCTTCTGTCATATTCCAATTGTGTTAGCTTACTTACTATCTTCTCTAATGCTTCAATCAACTTTGTGAATTTATTCAGTACCTTGATACTGTCTAAATTAGTCCTGTCATTATAATACTCTAAAATCACCGTGAACTCATTTGTGAGTGATTTATAAAACTTTCAAAAGCCCTGCCGAACCCGATATAACAAACATACACACACATAAATCACTTGGTCCCGCAGGCAGATTACAGTACATTTTTTAACTGTACGAATAAGCCATCCTAAATAATTATGGTAATACTCTTACCTTTTTGAAAGCAATAGTTGCAATCCAATTACATCAGGCTTTACTGCTGAATAGGATTGTAGCCTGAAAGGTTGGGGGGAATGGCTCTGATTACCAGACAGTGAGACTCCATTCTTTTTGTCCTTCTTATTATCCCTAATCACTCTAACAATTAGACACAAAGAATCCTTTAGAATCTTGAGCTTATAAACAAGTTGTTCCAGCAGAAGCAGAGGTAATGAAGCCTGTTTTCCTACAGATCTATGGTTTTGTCCTTAAATGTCCTTGCCATTCTCTTCACTGCAATATCCCAGCTCTTCTTTACAGTCTCCCTCCTGGATGAGAGCCAGCCCACTCCCAAGTTATGCTACTTGAGCCTCTGCTTGGCTGCTGCTAAAGCTGCAGGACAAGGGTTGCGCTCTACCTTCCTCCAGTGCAGAGCACTGATTCATGTTCTCTCCTTTACCTGGTTGCTGATTTTTAGTACACCGTAAGAACAATGATAGTTGCAACACAATCTCCCTTTCAAATCTGGGCTAATTGAGCAATGGGTTCAAAAGTTGTTAGGAAGACTGACCGCAAAAAATAGTGTTTAATCATGCAAGTCTGTAGTGGTTTTTTATATGACCTTATATATATTTTAAAGTGGCTATGCACTGAAATG